ATTTCCACTCGCCTGGTCCAGGATGAAGCTTTAGTTTCCCTGTTTGGTGTTTCAGCCTCCCTTTGCCATGGCAGCCTGTCTCAATGCTTTGTCTGTCATCAGTATCTTTCTATTTTTATGGCGACTCACTCCCGAAGTGCGGATCCCAAAGCCAATCTTGGAGATATTTTACTAGAAATCTGCCTTCTGCCGAGCATTTCCCGTTTAAGCGCTGCCTGCTTTCCACTTTCTTCTGTCCTTTACAGTTCACCTTTTAAATTCATCCTCTCTGACTGAAGTACTTGTTTCCTGTGGTATGTCATATCTTGTGCGTTACGTATATCTAGGTGAGGATCTACCACATACCCTTGATCTACACAAACAGCTTATTTTATTCACAGATGAGGTTGCGTGGGTATAAGCCGCGCTTAGTAAATGCCATGTTGATTTTATTCCCCTATCCAGTTGCACCCACATCTTTTAATTGTTTTCTTTCCTTCAGACTGTTTTCTAAAGCCTCAGTAATGCTGATGTCAGCCTAGCAGGCTCGTCGCTGCCTGAATCCTGTCTCCTCGCCAAACTCTTCAGCTCAGGCGCTGGATTTGCTGTTGTGGTTGCTGAGAACCTCCCTCCGTAATTAAGAACCTCCGCAGCCAAAACAGCAAATTCCTTCTCTGGTGCTTCCAGAAGTCTGGAATGGGCATGATCCATTCTTTCCCTCACCTCACACATGTCTGGCTGTCTTCGTGATCAGCTAGTACACCTAAATATTCACAGCTTTAAAATCTATTCCCTTTTCCAAAGACAGCTGGCGAGTGATGGAAACCCCGGGTCCTGCTGGGGTATTGATGTCACACCGCTGCAAGCAAATAGCTTTGGTTTTGGTGGGACAGCACTAAAATCTGGGCTGTAGGGGGGAAAGGAGGGAGCGAGCACGTTGCCTTTTTAAGCTCTGAAGGAAAGACTGAAAGACTCGTAGCACGGGAGATTCCAAAATGTGCCTGAGCTGCCTTTCAGTGATTTCTGGTTAATGTTACTGCCTTAGCACAAGGCTTTCGGTCTCTTGCTCTGCATCACTCCTGTTCCCTTCCCTCATCCTTTGGAGATGCAAAGAACAAACGTGGTATTTCCTTCTGCCTGTCTCAGTGAAAAACATTTTGGATTTGGATCACGGACATACACTCACTGTCTTGATAATTGTTATCCAAATGGTGATCCAGCAGCTGCCTAGGGTTGATGTTTTCTCCCCTGTAGAAACTCGATATACCTTGGCAAAGTGACATCCTCGCTTTCGGATGCAATTGTGGTGATGCTCAATTTCCAAGGGTTATCACTGCATGTGGTGGAATCTGGAAACCTTGGGAACAAGCTATAAAGTCAGTAGGAAAGACAGGATGCAAAGATCTTGGCAGCTCCCCCGTGATGGAAGATCCTGCTGTACTCAGGGCCATGGTGCCAAAACGCAGCACGAACCACTAATTTACTCTGATGATACTCCCTCCTCAACACTGTCATAGATTTTGGTATTCCTTGGCCTTTCCAAACTTGGAGTCCCAGGAGCATCCCAGGGATGGGTAAGCCAGCGGTACAGGGGATGGGGTGACTGACTCACTCCCAGCATGAACAAGGGGAAGAAGAGGGATGTGTAGATGCTGTTGCCTACCTGCCCCCTTCCTCCCTCCTTCTGCTCACAGTCCGGGCTCTGTCCCAGATCTAATAGAAGAAACAGGCACAGATCAAGAACAGATCCTTTCCCCAGTGAGGTGGTTGGGATGAAGCAGACAGGGAAGAGGGGCTTTGTGTTCAAATTAGGGCTGAGCTGTGTTCCTAGGGCTGCACAATGGGCACCTGGGGTCTGGTGATGGAAGACTAGGAGATGAATGCATCAGCAGAGATACTACAGAATCATCTAGGTTGGAAAAGAACTCGAAGATCATCTAGTTGAACCATAAATTGCAGGTGCTGGGGCTGAGGGATGATGAACGGGATGGCTGCAGCTTGGGGTCACGGGGCAGAGCTGTGTTAGGTGCCAAAGCCTGGTCTTAGAGAGGCTGGACTCTGTTAAATCACTGTCTACAGCCTCCCACCGGCTCAGCCTACTGCTGTGATGGCCCACGTTGCTCTGCTGGGCGATCCCAGATTTCTGTGGGGTGCTTTGGGCACAGGCAGGCTGGACTTGCCTCTGTTTGAGCTCACGGAGGCGTTGGCAGCCGCTCTGACCCCAGCCCTGTGGAGAAGGACACGGTGGTCCCCACGGGGCACAGGGATGGGTGCTGCCCCCCGCGTGCACCGTGCTGAGCCGCACACGTCCCGCTCAGCTGCAGGGTTCGACGCTGTTCAAAATCCATCCTCATGGCCCAGGCAGCACCCCCTTCGCTTTTCTCCTCGGGATGCCGGGTGTAGCACGAGCAGACGGTTTCTGAGCTGGGGGGAGCATTCCTGCGGTTGGAGCCTCGTACAAACCTGCCGTTGGGCCACACATTTGCTCTGAAGGGTTTGGCAAGAGCCCCGGGCAGGGGATGGTGTCATCGCTTTGGAGAGCAAAGGCTGTCAAGATGCAGAGTGGGGAGTGCTGGTGGCTTCCTCCTGCCAGCTCAGCGTTCCCGGGCTCCTCCAGCCACACGGGAGCAGCCTGGCAGCTTTTTTTACTTTTTTTTTTTTTTTTTTCTCTTCCCTTTTTCTTCTCTGGAACCCTGTACAGCATGAGCATAGCAGGGCTCCCAGGGGGTTTGCTGCTATCCAGAGAAGATGTCTTGTTCTCTGCCAGATCTTGTGCTGGAAAAAGGCTGGAGGAAATCCAGTTTGCAACCTTTCTGCTGGGGGTGTTGGTGAAAGTCCTGTGAGGTGCAGCAATCCCTGGCCAGGCTTGTTCCCCTGCCTCAGCAGCACCAAAAGGCACAGCCCAGAGCGGGTAGAGCATGGATCTGACCTACCCGACCTCTGCTTGCTCCACGCTTTACTGCAGATTTGCTTTTTGTTCACCCAAAAGAACCTCCTGCCGAGCCTGCCCGCTCCTCCCAGGCCACGATCTGACCCTGCACCGGGCACCGAAGCTTTTTCCTGGGATGCTGTTTCCACGCACCCCTGTGCAGCACCAGCAGGAGCAATTTGCATTTCTAGCAGCTTCAGGGCAGCCAGAACCACCTGGGGTTTGCCTATGTCCCTCGTAAGAAAGGTTCTGCTTGATGCACGTGTTAATCTCGAAAACAAACGCCTCCACGTTGCTTTTACTAAATATAGGAGAAGTGTCTGCTGCGGCGCAGGGCGCTTGCAGACAGCCCACAGCGGGGTCACACCACTAAATCGAACAGGAGTTTATCAGCCCCAGCCAGGAAAGGGACTCGAGTTTAATGCTCTCCGCTTGCAGATTTGAGCTGCAGTGAGTTGAATTTTCAAGGTCAATCTCATTCCCTGTCATTTGCAGAGGACTGAGCTTGGAAATGTGAAACGGGGCTCCTCTGGGATGAGCATCTCAGCCCAGCGCCGAGTACGTTGGATCTTCCGCTTATCTCTCGTTAGCACAGATGGCTTTTCACCCCCCTGTGGGGTAACTGATACAGGGGGGTGAGGAAGAAACCGTCCCTTCTCGTTGAGTCACATCTCGATCAATCCAGTGCTGCAGGAAGTGTCATTTCCCATGAACGCACAAGCGTACATGCACTGCTGGTGGATTCTTGTGAGGTCAGGCACTCATTTCCCCCTAATTACAGCTCCAGGAATGAACAGTGTTCAGCTTAGAGCCTGGTGACTTTGTGCTTTGGAGCAGTTTTCATTTAAGCAAAATATAAGCACGTGAAAATAAAGATGGAATTTGGATCTTTTCCTTCTGGTTCTTTTGGTTAAAAAGATGCCATCTGGGGCTTGTATAACTAGTTTGGGTTTGTTTGGTGATGGTCAGTGAACGAGAAGATCCAGAGCCCCAGATTGTCATGCAAAAAGTCTCCGCGTTAGAAACCTTCGCGTTGCCAGAAACAGTTTGTGAGCGATGCTTTTCCCTGCACCACATACATCCCTCTGAGACTTCAGAAGGCCCCTGTTGGAGCAGGAACTTGGAGGACTGGAAGAACCTCCCAGGCCATGATCTCCCGAACAATGTGTCCTATCATCCCCTCCAGAAAAAACATCATCTTCCATTTTAAAACTCAATGTGGTTTCTTCTGTGGAAGCCAACTCCAGGGCTGCACAACCCCCACGGTTAGAAACCTTCTTCTCCTATGAAAACTGTCGTGGCATCCTCTGCCAACAAAGAGGGTCAGATACAAGAAGCAGAGAGTGGGTGAGAGGTACTGCTGCACGCGAAAGCCTGTGCCCCTGTTGTGGCTGCCTCCCTGCATTAGGTTTGGGATATCCAGGCCACGTGGTTCTGCCCACGCTGTGCTGGAAACAAGTCCCCGAGGCTGAGGGATGGCAGCTGAACCAGATACTTCATAGCCTGGAAGGTGGTGGCATCCCTAACGTCATTTATGAGCGTGAAAACTTGAACATCTGTCACCTCTGGGGTGTCCGGTGCCACGTTTGTGGCTGGCCAGGCCCAGCCTTGGGTTTGGTGCTGCTGGAAATAGAGCTCTGAAATCAAACCAGGCAATCCGTGGCAAGGAAGGGGCGAGGACTTTCTGGGTGGCTGTCTTCAGCTTCAGACACTCAAGGAGATGTTGGTTGTTTAGAAGAAAAAAAAAAAAAGGCAAATAAAATGACTTATCAGTCAGACGCAGCATAGCTATTAATTTGTCTATTAATGACCGTGTCTCTGAGCCTGGAAATGCAAACTCCGAGCCCGTGGGGGCTCAGCACAGAGCTGCTGGCGTTGGATCTGCCCCTTCCCCTTATCTCTGCCAAGCACAGGCGCTGTCTCACCGCTGACGGGGCCGCGGCGATGCTGGTGGGGTCCTGTCACCTCCTGGATCGTTCCCTCGCCAACGCAGCGGCACCTCCCAAGCGCACATGGATCAAACTGTTCCCGGTTGCTCTTGAAATTGTAACAAGCTGTTACCTTTATTTATGGTCTTTTATTTGTTTAAAGGTTGGGTCTGGACCTTCTGAACTGCAAGGGCAGGTTTTGTTCAAGAGGGAGGGACAAGTATTGCTTGAGCACCTTCTCCCACAGCCAGAGGGATTTGTCTCTTCTTGGGGATGTTGCCTCATCCCAACTTGGGCATCTCCAGAGAGGATGAGGGAAGTGGCCCCTCCCAACTCCTCTGATTTTTCTCACTCCTTTTCCAGCTGCAGAAGACGGGGTTATGAGATCCACCTGGCAGGGGAAGGGCAGTCGCAGCCCACTCCAGGCCCTGTATGAGAGTGACCAGGTAAGGGGACAGGGAGATGGGTGGGGGGTGAAGAGGGAGTGGACCCCTTCTTCCACCCCTCTGGTGTGCAGGGCACTGCACTGTCTCCAACCCTGTGCCTGAACCTCTAGTCATGTCCAAAAAAACACGCTGCTTTGGGGAGTAATTGTTGATAAAAGCCTGCTTATGGCCCTTGCTGGGGCAAATGGTTTCATCACCGGTGGGCTGTGGGCCATCACAGTGGGGAAGGAGCATCATTGCTGCACTTTCTGGGCTGAGTGAGAGATGCTTTTATGTTGGGCGCTCTGTAGATACACACACACATGCGTATGCATATATATATACACAATATATACCAGCATAGAGCTGGACCCAACCATGAGGAGTTTATAATCCTGGGCCATCTCAGTCCTCTCTGTCACCGCTCCCCTCCGGGTGGGTTTAGTGAGTCCCTCCCTGTGTAAGGCCCTGCTACAGGACACGCCACAGGCCAGCTCAGGGCAGAGAGCACTTGCCCTCGGCCACTGAGTGGGAGCTTGGAGGTTTGTGCCTGAAGCTGTGAAAGGTGTGTTTTTTCCCTTCTGCTGCATTTCCCCCCTGGGTGGGCCGTTTGCCCCCATGCAACCAGCCTTGTCTTTTTGCAGAGGGATCCTCGCCCACAACTTCCCCGCAGGAAGCGCTGCAGGAAACCACCCTCCCGGCACTGCAACGGGCCGGGCCACGGCCACATGCCCCAGCCACCAAAAGTGCTCCGCACCTCCCCATGTCCCTGGGGCCACCATCCTCCGTGGCCGGCAGGGAGCAGAGGGACTGGTGGTCCCTGCAGCTGGCTGCCGTCCCCAGTGCCGCAGCCAGATCTCCTTCCCGTTCCTGTCGCTGTCTAGGTTGATGCTTTTCTGTCTATAAGCAGCCACATGACATTTGTTCTGGGAAAAACAGCAAGCGTGGACTTCCCTGGCCACCACGCCGCAAACCCGAAGGCTGCTGGCACGCCGTGGTGTTACTTCCTTAAAAGCAATAGTTAATTTCTCTGGCTTTTAAAAAAGAAGGAAATGAAGGGAGCAATTTTGCTCTGAAATAACTGCAAGACAGGCACTTATTGCAGTGGGCGGCTGTTGAAAAGCAGTCACATTTATCTGTTGCCATGCCTGCAGACACTGTCTGTCTGTCTGTCTCTCTGGTCTGATAGTTTTGAATTACGCAAGTGGAGGGAAAAACACCTGAAAAAAAAAAAAAAAGAAAAAAAGCACATGGTTAAAATGCAGCGCTTTTTTTCTTTTTTTTATTTTTTCAAGCGCTTGCAAAAAGCGTTGCCAGTTTTAAAAGGTGATGGGGAGCCCCCAAAGAACTGAAATTACTACTGAAAGGCTTAGCTGTGTTGCAGGGAGGTGTAGCATGAGAATGCCTCTTCAGCTGTGATCGTCACCACCCAATGTGCTCTTTTTCATATAAGCAATGTCAAAGTCATCTTTTGCTGGCAGTTCCAAGTCTGTTGACCTGCATTTCCTCCACCTGAGTATTTCTCCTTATCATCTCCTTCTTGGAAGGAGCAGCAATGGGATGCTTTCTCCTGCCCATGCAGGTTCCTGGAGAAAGTGGTCACTAAAGTGACCTGGACAAAGTTATTCCTTTTGTGAAAATGAATCACAGAATCGTCTGGATTGGAAAAGCCCTTGCAGCTCCTCCAGCCCAACCATGACCCTCACCCTGACCCTTCCCAACTCCCCCAGATCCCTCAGCGCTGGCTCAGCCCGACTCTTCAACCCCTCCAGGGATCCCGGGGACTCCCCCCTGCCCTGGGCAGCCCATTCCAACGCCCAACAGCCCCTTCTGCACAGAAATCCTTCCTCAGAGCCAGCCTGACCCTGCCCTGGGCAGCTTGAGGCCATTCCCTCGGGGCCTGGCGCTGGCTCCTTGGCTCCAGAGACTCATCCCCCCTCTCTGCCCCCTCCTGGCAGGGAGTTGCCGAGGGCCAGGAGGTCTCCCCTCAGCCTCCTCTTCTCCAGACTGAACCCCCCCAGTTCCCCCAGCCGCTCCCCAGCAGACCTGTGCTCCAAAGTGATGAGACACGAGATCCAAAAGAGTCTTGAATGTGGTTCATGCCTTGCAGGAGGAGCTGTTTGCCCAAATGTTAGTGCTCCTCTGAATGTTGGATCATCCACAGGATGGGCAGTTTGTGTCAGGATCCCAACTCACGGCAGGAGCTTTACAAAGCCCCATCTCCACAACGCTGCCTCTCCCAAAACCCCTGATGCTCCCCAGGGAGAGGCAAGGGTGCACCTGAAGCTTGGTAAAGGATGTCCTTTGGCCTGCCTCAGCGATGCCACCTGTCAGCAGCAGGGATGTAGGGACCAAGGGAGGTGGCCTGCCCTTGCCCTTTGTCTTGACATTACCACATCTCTGCCAGCTGCAGAGGCATTAACCGTGGTGCCGCGGGGTGCCAGCAGGACTGTCTTCACGACCACAAAGTGGAAACCACCGTCATGACATGGAGGTTCCCAGCAATGACCCTGGGTTCGAATGCGAAACCTCCCAACCCTCGTGAGCAAACTGGGCAGTGAGTGGGCAGGAGGAGGAGGAGGGGACCTTCCTCTTCTGAGTTCCTGGAAATAATTTCCTTCTGCAGTTCTTTTACTGACATTTTGGAATTTATGATGAAAACCATGACAGGAAAGGTCATGTCCTCAAATCTGGAGGAGGGGGGGGATTTCAGCTGGGGCAGGAATTGGGGGGTTCTTGGCTCCTGGGAAGCCAATGCAGCAGCTGCCAGGCCTCAATGCAGGAGTCAGAAGGGATAAAGGACCATATGTGGATGCCTCATCCCTGTAGACAAAGGAGGCTGGGACCAGAGCTGAGGCACTGGTCTGGCCTGTGTGAAAAGTGTCCCTCGGGAGAAGAAACCCAGACCTCTCAGGAAGGGCCCCACCACCGCCTCCAGCAGCATCTTGCTCCTCTCCATCATGCCCTGCCACCCCACTTCACCTCCAGCTCCCCATCTGCTCCCCAGGGGTCAGCTGTCACCACTAAAAGACCATTTTTCCCCCCCCCGGGTCACTTTGCCTTTCCTTGGCAGCACACCCCCACCCGTTCCCTCATGCGTGCCCACACCCGTGTGCCACGTTTCTGCTCTCCCCATCGCAGCCGGGCAGGAGCCAGCAAAGGGGCTCTGCTGTTTCTCCTGGAGGGGTCGGGCCATGTGTGCCCCTCTGGGCTCATGCATGCTCCCTGGGCTCGTGCGTGCCCCCCTGGGCTCATATAAGGGAGAGCTTTAGCTCAGTGTGGGGGGGGTGCTGTTACAAACGTTCAGTTGTTGACTCTGCACCACCTGTTCTTCCCTCACCCCCTTTGACTTGTCCTCCCATCCAGCTCCGCATCACATTTCATTCCTTTTTTTGACCCCAGCAGGCACAAGGATTAAATGCACCAAAGCAAGTTGTGTTCAGAGCCAGCGCTGTCCCCAGAAATCTCACTTGGGTGACTACCAAACCTAGGAAAGGGGAGGGGATTGGGCTGAGTGTTGTGTGTAGGGCAAGCTAGTGACCATCTCTTTTTTTTTTTTTTTTCCTCCCCCCAGTTTGAGCAGTCATCACTGCAGGCAGTTCACCAGCAGAGACGGGAGCTGTTGAGTAACATCTGCAACCGTTACACCCGCAAGCGGCGTCTCCTGCGGCCGGATGACTTGCGGCACTTGGTGGTGGATGACACCCATGGGCTGCTCTACTGCTACGTGCCCAAGGTGGCCTGCACTAACTGGAAGCGGGTGATGATGGTCCTGACGGGGCAAGGCAAGTACCAGGACCCACTGGAAATCCCCGCCAACGAGGCCCATGTCTCCTCCAACCTGCGCACCCTCTCTGAGTACAGCATCCCCGAGATCAACCACCGCCTGCGCAGCTACCTCAAGTTCATCTTCGTGCGGGAGCCCTTCGAGCGGCTGGTCTCGGCGTACCGCAACAAGTTCACCCGCAGCTACAACACGGCCTTCCACAAGCGCTACGGGACCAAGATCATCCGGCGGCACCGGCAGGAGCCCAGCGACAAGGCCCTGGAGCGCGGGGACGACGTGCGCTTTGAGGAGTTTGTCTACTACCTGCTGGATCCCCGGACGCAGCGGGAGGAGCCCTTCAACGAGCACTGGGAGCGGGTGCACTCGCTCTGCCACCCCTGCATCGTCCACTACGATGTGGTGGGCAAATACGAGACCTTGGCCGAAGATGCCAACTACATCCTGCAGCTGGTTGGGGCCGACGCGAGCGTCAAGTTCCCATCTTCATCCAAGACCACCAGGACAACAGATGACATGACGGCTCAGTTCTTCCAGGACATTAGCCCTTTCTACCAAAGGAGACTCTTTAATTTATACAAAATGGACTACTTGCTCTTCAATTACTCCATCCCCTCCTACCTCCGCATCCGATGAGGCAGGGGCTGGGGGGAGAGGTGAGGGAGAGCTGGGTAACTCTCATCTTGCCGCAATTCCTCTCCTCCCACCCTGTGCTCATCTCTCAGTTGACTCCTCCCCCGTGCCCTCGCCATTAGGGTCTGTTCCACAACCTGATGCCTTGTTCACGCATGGTCTGGAGGGAGGACACCTCTCAAAACACCGGGGCTGGAGCTTTTCCTTCCCTTTCCCTCCACCCTTCAACATCTCCAGGGGATGGTGGTGGGACCAGACACTGCTGGGTGGGAGGGCTTGTCTTGGCTGGGGACTTTCTTTTCACTAAGAGACTCCTGTGTAGATCCAAGTTGTGGGAAGGCTCTTTTTTTGGGCAGGATCCCTTCAGGTCTTTCTCCTCCTTACTGGGCTGTTTGGGGTGGACATGGCGTCTTGGGGGCCAGGGTGGAGTGTGTCAGAGACTTGCATAGAACCAGAAATAAAGCAATAATTTAATGTAAGTTTTCCCTTTTGTTGAAAATTGCTCCCACCTTTTCTTTCCGCCGTTTTCTCCTCCGTCCTCCCGCGGTGTCCCCCATTGCTGGGGAAGGCAGTGGTGTGCTACTGTGACTACATATTTCTGCCTTGATAAAGCCTGGAGGGCTTTTTCGTTCCTTTCATTCCACGTGCCCTCGGCTGGGATGCAAAATACTCCAAAGAGAAAGAAAGGAGCAGGTTTGCAGCAGGTATGGGCTGATAGAGACACGGCGCTTTCTCCTGAACTGCAGCAGCGGAGCACTCAGTGCCGGTGTGCGTGTGTGTCTCTGGGTTTCTGGTCAAATCCAATAAATCCAGGCCCCACACCTCCTGTTTTTTTAGGAGCAGGTGGTAAGTGTTTTGCAAAGCCATACGTACAGCTGGGGGGGCAAGGGGTCTGCTCATGCTCACATCGCAGTGTCCTGCCCATGGACCTGCTGGCTTCTTGTCCCCTGGCACTGTGGGCTCCTGCTTGGGGTGGCCACATTGCCCCCGGGGGATGGAGAAGGTTGCTGGGACAGGTTTGAGTTATAAAGTGCTCCAGGGGGCTGGGATGGGGGGGATGGTTCTGGTCGTGAAAAGGTGGCGCTGGGCTGCGAAGGACAGAGAAGAAGAATGTGTGTCTGTGTGTGTGTCTGTCTCTGTGTGTCTGTCTGTGTGTAAAAATTGAGAATAAAAATGGGGACAGAGACACCTAGAGGAAGATTCCCCTTTGCCTGGCTGGCTTTGGACAATTCATTCCTTGACGAAAAAAAGGGGGAGGAGGGCGCAAAACACAAAAGAAAATGACAAACCCAGTCCTAGGATTTTAAATTAAAACCAGTCGAAGGAGCTGTATTTCTTTAAAACCATATTTCAGTCTTTCCTCTTTTCTGTTCAGCTTTGAGTCAGTGGCTGCCTTTGTAAATAAACACGTTGGTAATAGAATTTGCTGTGGAGTGTGTCTGCTGGCTCGGCTGCAAGCACTTGACTTATTAGTGCAATACAATGGGAGGTTTTATAAAACCCCAGTGCTCTCAGGCTCTTTTAAAAAATAATGTTTTCATCTAAAAGCTTTCAGCTGTTTTATCTTAACCTCTTTCCTCTCTGCCTCTCATTGGCATCTATACGCTGACACTCCCTCCTTGGTTGCTCAGTTTGGAGATGAGGTTTAGCAAAGCAATGAAAACGAACAGTAAATAAAATTGCTGGTGATCCTGGCAGTCTGACTGATTCTCCCAATCTGGACTGGAGATCTCATGAAAACGGCCTTTCTTGTGCTATCTTAGTATCTCCCCGTCTAGCTGAAACTCAAAGCACAAAACCAGATGATATGATGAAACAAATTTCATCCGCAGCGTTCGGGCTTGGAGTGCATTCCTCCTGCTTTCTCAGGAGTCTCGCGTTCCCTGCTTCACGCTGCCTCTGCCTGGAAAAAAATCATTGTTCAAGTCACCACAAGCTCTTTTCATTGCTTTTGGTCATGAATCATAATTTGGGGTCAGATTCAGAGTCACAAATGGATGGATTTTTGGATGGATTTCTTTAACACTGATCCCTGCAGGTGGTTTTCAAGCTGATGGCACAGACAGAGCATGGCAAGGACAGACACACAGACTCTGTCCCCGTGGTGCTGCCTGTGGGTGCTGAGGCGATACTGGGCTGGCTGGGAGCCTTTTGGGGCTCTTTCTGGTGTGAAAGCAAGGGAAGGGCTGACCCATCGCCCCAGACAGCACCAAAGCCACGCAAGTGGGGAGCAAATGCAGCCCCCAGGCCTCAGCCATGGGCTGCAAAGGGCAATAAATACCCTGCTGAGACTTGGCTTGTGCCAGGGCCATGCATCTATGTGGAAATACCCACCTTCGAGCTTTTTCTTAAAAAACCCAAACACCCAACCAACATCCACAAACCAACCCATTTAGGTCATACCCTTGGCTTTCCCCCTGCCCAAATACCACTTCCCAAAGCAAAACCTGCCCATGCAAACAGAAAATGGCCATTTTGTATTGCTGAAACAACCACTTCAGCCCGGGCTGGAGCTTTCTGGGCCCTGGAAACGTTTGGGGGTTTGGGTTTTTTTTTCAGCCGGGGCTAGGGGGGGGCTCCAGGACCGAGGGAGCTGAGGGGCAGCCCCGACCCTCCCGGCAGGCGACCCCCTTTCCCCCCAGCTCGAACCGAAAAACGCTGCAGGACTGGAACAAAACGGAGTTACGAGGACACCGTGTGACTGGTGATCCCAACTACAAGCATCTTAATTTCCTGCATGATTTCGGGTGCTGGGAACAGTTTCTCTGAGGGGCTCCTCGTTTTTCGTGATTTTTTTTAGCCGTTTCACTGCATCCCTTTTCTTGCTAGAGGAGAAAATATCAAGGTAGTCTAGGTCACCTTTAAAGTGTAATTGCATTTGGTTTTCTCCTCTGTTTGGGACTGGAAATGTGGCAGCACCTGATGGGCACAAAGCACAAGGAGATGCCCGGGGGTTTTCCCCCAAGAGCACGGAGCAGGGCATCATCCCCACAGCCCTGCCTGAGCACCCCGCTGTGAGTGGGGAGTGTTTCTAGGAGGAAAACAGTGATCTGGTGATGAAGGGCACAAATGCACTGCTGGGATCCCAAGCGGGGCCAAACTGCAGCCCTGCAGGTGTATCTGGTCGGTGGCGATGGGGCTTTGGTGTGTCTGGCCTGTGGGGCTACATACTGTGTGCCGAGCTGCCTTTTGGCCAAGGTCTGATGGCAAAGGGAGGTGAAGACTCTTCTCAAGCAACCAGTGAAGTGAAGACAGGACCAACCATCCCACCAGGAATGAGCTCAGCCACTGTCACCTGGAGAAAGAGCAAAGGGATAAATGCAGGGGCAGCAGGACTTCTTTTGGTGCCCTTAAATACAAACCATACAGTGCTAAAAAAAACCAAACCCAACCAACCAACCAACTTGTATTTCTGCAGGGAAGTGAACCTCTGCCCAGGCTGGAGTCCTCAGTAGCACTTTGGCTGCCATGGGTGGGGGCAGGAGAACCCAGGGTGGCCAAGGGAAAGCCGCTGCAGTCAATGCTGCCAAGGTCACCCCAGCTCAGCAGCGGGAACCCGAAGGCGAACAGAAAAATCTGAGTTAGACGGCTCAGCCTCAGGCAAGGAATAACCTCACAAACTCTGTTTAAACCCTCCCTTCTCCGACCTCCCCATTAAAAATAAAGAAACAGAACATGGCTGTTGCCCTATTCAGCAGCGTTCAGACTTCAGAGTCACCGAGTGCCCGTGACATGCAGCCGACCTGGGGTGGGTGCAGCACAGGCAAGCTCAGCCCAGGGCTTGGGGGCAAGTGCCCACCCTGCCAGGCTGGCCCTGGGGCTTGGTGGGAGGCTTGGGAGCTGCTGGGGAGTGTCAGAGCACCGGAGAGGAAAAAAGGAAGTAAGAACAGCCTCACTTTGGTATGTTCACGTGTGCACACATACACAGTGTAAATAACGATTGTATGATAACGTAGAATAGAATCATTGCAAATAACTGAAATATTTATAGGTGACAATAACATGCATTAGATGTAATGTGTATAAAGTATGTATTACAAGAATAATTAAAGGAGCATTTATGATTACATATTGTATGTTGAGTGATTATATTTGTATAGTTTGCAATCACAGAATCCCAGAATCATCTGGGTTGGAAAAGCCCTCGCAGCTCCTCCAGCCCAACCATGACCCTCCCCCTGACCGTTCCCAACTCCCCCAGACCCCTCAGCACTGGCTCAGCCCGACTCTTCAACCCCTCCAGGGATCCCGGGGACTCCCCCCTGCCCTGGGCAGCCCATTCCAACGCCCAACAGCCCCTTCTGCACAGAAATCCTTCCTCAGAGCCAGCCTGACCCTGCCCTGGGCAGCTTGAGGCCATTCCCTCGGGGCCTGGCGCTGGGGCCTTGGCTCCAGAGACTCATCCCCCCTCTCTGCCCCCTCCTGGCAGGGAGTTGCCGAGGGCCAGGAGGTCTCCCCTCAGCCTCCTCTTCTCCAGACTGAACCCCCCCAGTTCCCCCAGCCGCTCCCCAGCAGACCTGTGCTCCAGACCCTGCCCCAGCTCCGTTGCCCTTCTCTGGCCACGCTCGAGTCATTCAATGGCCTTTTTGGGGTGAGGGGCCCAGAACTGAACCCAGGAATCGAGGTGTGACCTCACCAGTGCCAAGTTCGGGGGTAAGATCCCTCCCCTGTCCCTGCTGGCCACACTATTGCTGATCTGGTTTATGCCTACGTGTGCATGTGTGCACATCATATCGATTACAGAAACACACACATACCCCAGCGTCGCCACAGTCCGACAGGGCTCAGCAGTTAACGGCGAGACAGCCCCTTCCTCCTAGTGCTGCCAAGAGCTCTGCTGGCTCCAGCCTTCGGAGCGTGGCGGGCACTTTGCCTGGGCTGTGGGTACTTCACGCTGCGGAGCTGCTGGCCCCATCGCTGGTGGCCCATGTGAAGCTGCTGAGTTTTTCCTTTCAGTGGAACAAAACAGAGCTTCAGTGATAGGGAGGTTTCCTTCCAGAGCTTGCTGTGCACCACAGATTGGGTTGTTTACCAGCTGGAGGATTAAATAGACTTGCATTGAAGGGAAAAAAAAAATTTAAAAAAATGTAAGTGTTTTCAAGTATGTCTTGGAAGTGGTGTTCCGCTTGAAGGACAGACTTACTTGTGTTTGCTAGCTGGCACTTCACTTGTCCCTAGTAAGGAGTTGCATCTTGCAAAAAGTAGGGTTTCTGGAAAAATACTGTATTAGGATGGAGGCAGTGAGTGGAAGTTGGCAGCGGGGAGGAAAATAACTGCTTTGACTATCCCTGAAAACAGCCCCCTACTCCCACCTCTCTCTACGGTTGGTGACAGCCCCTTCCCTGCCTGCAAAGAGAAACCCTTGTGCAATCGGGAATGAGGGATCCCCTGAGCAACCTTCCACTCCCCGAGGCGGCTGGGATCTCCCCCAGGTCCCAGCTGCCATCCCAGCACCCCAACATGCCCAAACTCCTGTGCCCTTCCTTGCCCCCATCCCACAGCACTATGAACCCAAGATTTAATTTATTTGGGGACAACTAGTGGCTGACCTCAGGACTGAGTCTAAACCTCGCAGCCAACACAGTGTGAAGGAAAACTAAGGGAGATTTAAAGTAAAAAAATAAAATCATTTCTGGTTTTTCTCTGCCTCCCACTACAAACTGGATAAACTGGCTGATGGCTGCATGGGTCTTGGAGAATCCAGCCCAACGGTGATTTTTTATTTATTTATTTCTGCTTTATTCAAAACTAGGCAGTCTCATTCTTCTGCTGATACTCCACATTTGCTTTATTTCCCCCCAGAGAGAAAAAAGACAAGCCTTCCACTGAAACCTCATGCCATGTGATGGCCAAATGGACAGATTGGCAGCCAAGGACTAAAGACCAGCAAGAAAGGAGCTCTCTTCTCCCACCTCTTCCTTTTTAAGGAAGTTGCTTATTTAGGAGCTGTGAGGAATAAATACAAATAAAAGTCCTTGTCAGCTCAAATGGAGGTGCTGGTGACTGGTAGGGCGGCTACAACCCCGTGAAAAGTTGGGCACAGTAAGGACACAGCAGCGGAGAAGCCGGGCCCACTGCTGGCTCAGATTAAAGACTGAAATCCCCCTGAGACAGTCACACCCTAACCGGGCTCTGCGACCCACACAGGTTTGCTCTGAAGCCATGTGAATTTTGTGAGGGAAAAGGGAGGAAAGCAACCCCCTCCCCAAATCTCCTCCCCAACAAAATCACGCCAGTAGAACAGCACGGGGAGCATAAAAGCAGGTAGGGCTCACTCTGATGTACTGAAAGCTCTTGAAAGCTGAGGATCCACAGGCATATAAACACCAAATCTTTGCTTTTAAGGGGAGGGAAGGGAGATAATGCCTGGACAAGTCTGGGGCTTTGGGGGCTGCGCTCAGTGCCAGCGAGGCCCCCGGTGCCAGGGGGAGGGACACGGAAGGGCTGGGGGTGATTTTTGGAGGAGCAGGTTCAGATGGAGTTACTGCAACGCTGATCCAAGCCCTGCTCCAGGGTTACATATAACCTTTGTTAGCAAAGGCCCTTTCTCGTTTGCACAAGGAAAGAAAGAAAAGGAGGAAAGAGTAAACAGGCCGAACAGCCAAATAACTAGCCTTTAGCTGCCCTTAAAAAAAAGGGGGGTGGGGAAAAAAAATCCCCTTTTATTGAAACCATTTCCTTTGGTTATATCATTTATCTTAAGGCTGGAAGCAATTTTCAGTCTTAAGTGCACTCCCTGCAGTAAGTGCAGGAGCACACGGCTGATGCTTGGCTGCCCACCAAGGGGTACCCCGGAGAACAGCACGTCTTGCCGAGCCCTTTGTAACCTCCCCCCATCAGCTCACGGCCCCGGCGCCTCCTGCAAGGGGGGAACCCCCCAGCCCAGCGCAAGGTGCAGCAGGGGTCACCCCGGCCCAGCTGCGTCCCGCAAGTAGGACACAGATGGCATCGATTACGTGTTCCCATCCCTGTTCTCTGTCAACTGTGACAACCAGAACAAGCTGAACTCTGCCCAGAAATCTCCCTGCTGAAGGGACACACCAGCACCAGGGCTTTGTTGCAATCGTGTGGCAGAGGAGCAGCCGTGTGGTGGGCATAGGGAATTGATGCTGGAAGAGGGTGATGAGGGTCCCTTGTAATCTGGCCCAGCCACAGGCTCCAGTCTGGGGCTTTTAGAGGATTGGAGGGAGTGGGGGCATGAAGAGTTTCAAGTGTTTGGAACCCTGCAGAGGGCTGGGGTGGTCTCAGCATCTTGGCCTTAGGACCAGTCTTACCTGATTCACACCAGCAGCAAAAGCATCCAGGTCTGGAGAGGACCTCTCCAAGGCAGCTGAGAGATGCAGCAAGAAGGAGAAA